GGGGGGGGGGGGGGGACTTGCCTATCTTCCATCTTCTCTACAGTTGCCCCAAATCAGCTCAATCCCCAAACCCTGCTGGCTCCTCTTGCTTAGCACCCTGTGCCCAATCACCTGCTCTTTGCCTCAGCACACACACGCGGCCTAGTCCTCATGCCCAGCCCCCTGCGATGATTGCGTCCCTCTGTGAGCCCCTCCACACCCTTCCTCATCTAAAGGACCTCTCAGACCTTCCAAACTCCTCTTCCTAAGACGCCAGTTCCAGGAACTCACTCTGTTCAGTTCCCATTACCTGCAGCACCTTTCACAAGGCGTGGAATCTTAAAGTCAGGAGAAACCCAGGGGGTCTTTGCGTCAACGTTCCTACTTGCTGTTCTCCCTTCTACAACACTCCCCCTCTGAACTCATCCAGGAATGAGGAACTCATTCCACCCCAAGCCGTCCATTCCACTGTTGCCAATTGGTTAGAAAATCCTTCCCAGGTGGACTTAACTGTCTTTTATATCATTTCCACCCTTTGGTTCAAATCATCTATTTTTACTACCTACCATCTCCTCCGTCACTTTACTCCGGTTCCTAACAATCCAGAGACTTTCTGTCCTCAAACTCAACTCCACCCAGTCTCCCCACCTCCAATGAGCTCCAGTCCTCTCTGTCCCCATCTACTGGGCAAAGGAAGGAAAGAACAGGAGGCCGGTTATAAAAGGCCCAGGTCTCTCCTGTCCAAAGGAAAGTGCTGCTCCTCCCCTAGCACCCTCACTTCCTGTGTCCCATGCAGCTCAGTCCCCTGGGCTGGGTGCTCTGTGCTCTCCCAGCGTTTCTGAAGGTGGAATCACACATAAGCAATGCAAATTTTGCATCATGCTTAATTTGTTCACTAATATACAGTCATATTGCAACAAATCCACCTTTAGTTAGAGAAAACTCCTCAGTCCTCACCCAGAGGACATTAAGGACAAAGTTGGGAAATAGACGCCAGAGCTCTGTGGCTACCTTTGTCTGTACCCCACCATGCCGCCCTCCACCCACCACGCCACCCTTCATCCCACCATGCCCCCTCCACCCCACCACACCACCCACTACCATAGGCTGCTTCCCTGTTCCAGGGCAGGCCAAGCCCAGCACATGCTGCCGACTGACCAGGACTAGAGCTGGAAGGAGGAGTGGTGACCAAGGAGGTTCGTATCTGTCTGGGCAGCTCCCCAAGTTCCAGACGGAGACCTGATCCTGAACCAATCCAATGCCATCCTGCGACCCCGGGCCACTCCCTCGGGGGTATGGGAAGACCCAGCGGGAGCCGTCCGGGTGGATGCGGTGAACAAGGGCATGGAAGGCCTGCAAACACGGCAGCCCCTCCTCTACACTGACTGCGTATCAATATCCATAATCAATATCCAACTATGAGGCGAGCAAGGGGGGCCACGTGAAGGAGCTGGGGGACCTGAAGCCTTCGGAAACCCTGCTGCCCAGACCCAGAGGCCAGGCCTTTCTGGGCCGATCTCCTTCTCGGACTATACAACCTGCTGGACGTGCTGCTGACTCACCGGGCCTGGCCCCGATGCCTGGACTCCAGCCCCTGCTCTGGGCCTACGGCAAGGCTCGCCTCAGGGCCCAGCTCCAGGCCTTCCTGGTCTCCCCCAAGCTCGCGAACTGCCTCATGAACGTCAGTTCAGGGGTGCCTGCCTCCCCTTCCCCAGGACCAATAAAATCTCCAGGAAAAAAGAAAATAGACACACAGGTTAACATGAAAATAATGAGAAGGTTGAGCTGTTTACTTCCTGTTTTTACATTTGGATCTGCAATCTTCTAGAGCAGTGGATCTAGGGGCATTAACCTTGCCCGCAGGGGACACTGGGCAATGCCTGGGGACTTGTTAGTTATCACAGTTGTGGGGAGTGCCGTTGGCACCTAGTGGTCAGGTATTTTGCTGAACATCCTACAAGCCCGGCTCATCTCCAGAACAAAGAAGGTTCCAGCCCAAAGTGGAGTAAGTTGAGAAACCCTGCAGGAAGCTTGCCCCTTTTTCTTTTCTCTTAAATACATTTTTATTGATTTCAGAGAGGAAGGGAGAGGGAGAGAGATAGAAACATCAATGACGAGAGAGAATCATTGATCGGCTGCCTCCTGCACGCCCCCACCATGGATTGAGCCTACAACCTTGGCATGTGCCCTTGACCGGAATCAAAACTGGGACCTTCAGTCCGCAGGCCAGCACTCTATCCACTGAGCCAAACCGCTAGGGCGAGCCTGCTCCTATTTTCACTTGCTCCTCCGGCTCGCCTGGACTTGAAGTCCTGTGCTGTGGGGCTGGACAGAGTGCTGGGAGGCTGCCAAGGGAACGCCCGCTCCCCGCGGGCCAGGAGGCTTGTGGTGTGACCTCCGGTCCAAGCCCTGACCCCTGGCCCCAGGCAAGCCCATCAAGATAATTAGGTCAGAAACACAGACACTTGGCTGGCGACCAGCTGCTGTGTCCGGCCCAGTTTCCCCTGGGAGTGGGGCAGAGGGAGAAAAAGAAAATAGAAGCAGGGAAGATAAACTACAGGGCAGGGAGCTGGGCGTCGGTGGGGAAGGCGGGCCACAAAGTGCAGACCAGGCATCACTGCGGCGGAGGATGTCTTACCTCCCGTCAGCTTGCGCTTGAAAACAGTTCTCCTTGCAGCTCAGTGAAAACCTCACAGTTTACAGAGTTCTGTACCTGTTATCGCATTTAATTCTCACCAGGTGATGGTGACTCATCTGTGTGTCGAGAGGGAAGCCGAGTATCAGGGAGACCCCAGATCTCAGAGTGGTTCAACACGTATAGGTTCTTGAGAAGCACTGAAAAGAGAGAGAGGAAAGGAGGGATGGAGGGTGACAGACGGAAGAGAGAGAGGAGGGAGAGAACAGCATAAATGTGAGTGAGGACATAGCAGATGCTCCGTGAGTGCTGGTGTTCTCCTGCTGTTTGTCTAAGGAAAACTGTTAGGACAATGAGAACATGACCTTAACATAGCACAGTGGTTCTCAACCTTCCTAACACTGCGACCCTTTAATACAGTTCCTCATGTTGTGGTGACCCCCAACCATAAAATTATTTTTGTTGCTACTTCATAACTGTAATGTTGCTACTGTTATGAATCGTAATGTAAATATCTGATATGCAGGATGTATCTAGGCGACCCCTATGACACGGTCGTTTGACCCCCAAAGGGGTCGTGACCCACAGGTTGAGAACCGCTGACATAGCGTAAGAGAAAGAACTCTAGACTACCACCCCAACTTCCCCAACCTCCTGGGGAGTACCCCACTTCTGCCCTACCTGATGGGGCAGCCTCACCTTGCTGGACTAGGCTGCTCTGAAAATGTGGAGGGTGGCATCTATCATTTTGGGGGCTCCTTCCAATTCTTGAATCTCTCATCTCTTTCTTTTTCAACTTCCCAGGCTGTTCAGCCCCTAGTTCATGGACACATGTTCTGGCCTCTGGCAGCTGGGCAAGGACTAAAGGCTCATAACTTATGCAGGTATTTGTGATAATCACTGCACTTGCAACATCCAATAGCAATGTCACAGGGACCGGCTTTTCATCTTCACCAGGACTTTCAGAGGAAAATAGGGCAGGGATGACAAATCTCCCCTTTCTGGGAAGTGATGAGACATAATAACAAAGAATATTGGAAGAGGAACCAAGAGATGCGCTCTCTCTTCCAGGCTGGCCATCCCCTCGCTCCAGGCTCTCCCCCACCTAGAACACTCCCGGGGCTACTGTCCGCAGTTCCACCAGCAGCTGGTCTCTCCACCTGGGCCCACAGAGGGCCCACGGGCCCAGGCCCTGCCCAGCTCTCTGCGTTATCTTCTCTCACTCCCTGCTTTGCTGCTTTGTGACCCTGGGTCTCTCTCTGTTCCCTGAACGCACCAAGTATCCTCCCTCTCAGAACCTTCGCCCTTGCTGTCCCCTGACTGGAGAGCTCTTTCCCATCATTTGGCCTCCAATCCAATGTCACTTTCCCATAGAGCCTTTCCTAACCGCTCTGGCTAAAGTAATCCCGAGTTCCCGGCTCCCCACCCCTTGCTTTCTAGACCCTGGTTGTATATTATTTCTTCATAGGTGTAGGAGGGGACCCTGGGGAGCCCTGCTGCTGTTTCCTTCCACGTGGGGATCCTGTCATTAGGCTACTGGTCTCTCCCCCGTCGGGACTCACTGCCCAGCAGGGTGGCTGTGTCTTGTCTGACTTTCAGATTGAAAGAAGTTGCCGAGGCCACTGGCTCAGCCTCTCCCTCTCCTTGCTGGATCTGCTCCCTGCAGAGCTTGAGCGAGGGTTGTCCCTGGACCAAAAAGCAGGCTCAGTGCTCCAGTTGCTGCCCCTCCGGGGATCGGGGTGGGGACTGACCATGGGACTGGATGCGCAGGACTGTCTGGTTGGGGGACAGCACCCTGAAGCCCATGTTGCTGCGCTCCAGAGTCAGGTCCTCCGGAGCCAGAAAGCCAGGGTTTGGGGCTCAGTCTGGCTCACAGGTCTGCCTCTCTGGCTCAGAACTCAGGCCTGGAATAGCTACATCAGCAATGGGCCAAACCACAGCATTTACCTCTTCCTGAAACATCATGCTTCTTGATTGAGTCATTTGTTTACATGGCAATTGTCTGTCCCCCGCCACACACACACACACACACACACACACACGCACGCACGCACACACGCCTCTCTCTTGCTACCATCCCCTACAGAAGGTAACTCTCTGAAAACAAGAATTCTGAATATATTCTGTGCCTGGAACAGTTTTTGGTCCAAGTAGGAGTCAAAAAATATCAGTTGAATGAATAGAAGAGCCTTCTAGATGCCTTGGACTCCCGGCCTGTGCACAGCCTTAGGGTGGGTGTCCCGTTAATGACTAAGACTAAATGTTCTACTTGCTCAGAAGAATCGGAATTCAGAACTGGATTCACACTGGCTTTTTAAAAATGCGTCTCTCCTGCTCCTAAGTTGCACATGAGATTCACGTCCATGAACTCTGATTTCCCTGAGGAGGAAAGTGGCACCAAGCCTCAGTCATGCACTTCACTCCACACCCTCTCCCCCACAGGGCAGGCTGGCTCCTCCATCCCCTCACTCGGAGAGCCACTGGATGCCGATTTCCCAGTCCTTGTCTTCCCTGGGGTCTGTCAGTCCCGCCCAGTGTCCGTTCCCTTTGTCTAGGCCAGGGGTGGGCAAACTTTTTGACTGGAGGGCCACAATGGGTTCTTAAACTGGACCGGAGGGCCGGAACAAAAGCATGGATGGAGTGTTTGTGTGAACTAATATAAATTCAAAGTAAACATCATTACATAAAAGGGTACGGTCTTTGTTTTCAATAGTTTTATTCATTTCAAATGGGCCGTAGTTTGCCCACGGCTGGTCTAGGCCTTCGCTCTGCAGGCTCAGGCCCCCTCAGCACTGAGAAGCCGAGGGCCACATGGGGCACACGGGAGCGCCGGCCATCCTTCCTGGGAGGCACGTCTAGTTTGCTCTCCTAAATTCAGCACCTGGTGGGCCTGGGTCCCCTACGCACTCACCGAGCTTCACCTGGCCCCACTCCTGGTGGCCCCACCAGTATGAGGGGCTCTGGCGTGGGCTTCCTGCTACAGTCTGGGGTGACCCTGAACCCTTGCCCCTTGGCCGAGCTTCCATCATCTCACCCAGCCCTCACCAGCTTTCTCAGCCCCGAATCTGAGCCACTGCAGAAGGTTCTAGTAGTGGTTCTCAACCTTCTGGCCCTTTAAATACAGTTCCTCATGTTGTGACCCAACCATAAAGTTATTTTCATTGCTACTTCATAGCTGTAATGTTGCTACTGATATGAATTGTCATGTAAATGTCTGATATGCAGGATGGTCTTAGGCGACCCCTGTGAAAGGGTCATTCGACCGCCAAAGGGGTCACGACCCACAGGTTGAGAACCGCTAGTCTAGGGCAAAGGATAGAAACATTCCAAAGCAAGGCTCTGGCTCCTGATCGATTTCAGGAACCTCTGTTCTCTGCAAAGCCCTGCTCCAGATGAAAGGGCGACCTGGGCCACTCTGACTTCAGCCCCCGGGAGGGAAGCCCAGGGTTACTGTCCCCCCGTTTCTCATAAGGAAACCCTGTAGGCCCAGCCAGCCCACCTGCTGGCCGCCTCCCCAGGGCCCCCGCCTGCCGGTGGGCTCGGCACCTACACTGTCTCAGCTCCATGGAGTCACTCCCTGTCGGGCCGAGCACCAGGGGAGAGCCCCTCCCTCTGGCATCTCTCTCAGGAGCTGGCTGGCCTTTTTCCAAGAAGGCCGCTTCCTGAGCATTCATGCCCTGGCCCTCGACTTCTCTCTCCTCCCCTTCCTGTAAATTTCACATTTGAAACAAATATTGATTTTCTTTACTAATGCCCCTTGCCAGATTGTAAGGCACAGCACACACACACACACACACACACACACACACACACACACACACACACCACACACACACACACACACACACACACGGCCATAGAAAACAAAAGGTGTGGACCTGCCCCCACTTCTGGAACTGAATGAGGGAGGAAAGGGAAATCACAAGAACAAGACTGTCAGCTCCGTCCCTCCCTGACCCTGCGCCGAGGCAAGCACTCAGGGCGGTTGGTGTTAACAGGGGCCTGTCTTTAAATTTACAAAAAAAAAGAGAGAGAGAGAAGATTCTAACTTTTCTATCTCGTTACCAGAAATGAGCATGAAAGGCTGGAATGGGCTGGATTCTGTGGCTGTGAGACTCCCCGCCTCATCGCCCTCCCCCAACTCCCTTTTCCCTTGGCTAATAAGTAATCCCCGAGAAGGTCTGTGCACTTTGCTTATTGTGTTTGGCTCAGAAATACATTCTCTTTATCACTCCCAACCTCAGGCAAACGCTTTCTGATCTCCATTTGTATGCCTGAGCACATCCAGCAATTGGGTTTAATGTCATTTGCTGGGGAACTGTAGGAAGCGGAAGGTCACTGGGCACAGCGAGAACTTGGCTCCTGGGCGGGACCTCCATGCCCAAGGCCTGGTCAGTCTCGGCCTCGGGCTCAGCAGCCGTCTCCTAGCCCAGAGACAGGCATTTGAGAACCTACTTAGTTTCACTCCTTCAACCTGCTTCCCCACCAGGCGATCTCCGAATCCCCCTGAGACCACGCTCACATTCACAGAGCCTGCATGTAGCCGGGCAATTGATTGAAACTTTAACCGAGCAGAGTAACTGACGCAGAAATTCCCTGTGTCTTGTTTTCCTCTGCAGCGGGACAACACAAAGGCAAGAAAGTATTTCCTTCCCGCCTCCCCACCCTCCAGTCACCCCTCCCCTGGCTTCTGTGTCCTTGAGGTATGTTTCTTCACTTGTTTAACAACGTTTACCTCTGTTTCTCAGCACAGAGGAGACATTGCCGGCTGCCATTTTTCTGTGACAACTCAGGGACAGTCAAGCAATTAAATAGGTTTGTCATGTAGGGGAGGAGCTTGGTGGCTTGCAGGGCAGGGTCTGGAGAAAGAAGGCCTGGCCCAGGAGGAGGGCCTGCCTCTGGATCGGGGAAGAATGCCTGGGTCCCAGGAAGCGGGAGGGGGAGGAGGAGGAGGCCCAGAGAAATGGAGACTGAGCGGCAGGAAACAGCACCTCTGAGGCAGGAGGACTCCGGTGGGGAGAGCTGCGTGGGTGCCTGTGAGAAGTGGGCACCCTGGCCACGGCCTGGGGAACGCAAGGAAGGCCACCCCTGAATGAGCAGCGCGGACAGCATCAGCTGGCCTTGGGGGCCTGAGCCGGGAGCACGGCCAACTGACCCCACAGACTGAGGAGCAGACTGACACCTCCCTCCACCTTCTGAG